TGAAATTTCCTTTTTATCCGTATCCACTTCAGCAAATTTAGCTATTTAAAAAAATCAGCGTAATCAAAAAATTTTTATAATAAAAAAAGTTAACAATTCATCAAATATCTCTAATTAATACTGTCAGTTTATGAAATTAGTTGTTAATAAATACTTTTTTTTGACGGGAAAACAAAAAATATCATAGCGTAAAAATAACCAGAGAAGTTAGAAAAAAGTTCCCATCGTATAAATAAAAATAAGTAAGAATATATAATACTGCGCTCTCTTGCACAAAATGAGAGACCGTATACATAACGTTCTATATAATGTAAAACTATGAAAATTATAAGATTCGTATGTAAAGCTTTAATATTTGTTTTAATTTAAAAACAATAGAATTATAAGTAAGATATATAAATCTAAAAATTATTAAGATATCGGTAAAAAAAAAGTTCCTCCTATGAAATAAAAAGCTTTTATTATTTTTGATTTTTAAAAAGAAAATTTTTAAAAGTTGTTTTGCTGTCACGGCGGTTTAATTTTAAGCATTTGCGGACATATATTGTACGCATGCGTTACTTTAAAAACAACAACAATATCGTAACTTTGATTTTTTTTTTGTTTTGGTTTTTTACCATAACCTAATAAAAAAGGTCATATTATTGCTTTGAAGATGTTTATACCAGATATAAATTCATAAACTAATAAAATATATGGCTAAGGAAACCATATTTAATATGAAATACTTAAACTTGTTAATTTTTATGTAATAAAAAACGCGGGAAAGTCAGAAATTATTTTATGGTCATCCTTACTACTAAAACATAATAATTAAGCATTTATTAGAACTTTTATGCCTTAAAGCTGTATATATTTAAAAAAAAGAAGGTTTTAACATTTTATAGTAATAAAAAAATCAGAGTCAGGTTACTTTTTAAAGTTTAAAAATTTTGTATATCAAATCTTATATTTTAGCAATAAAAAAACAAAAAAAAATGACTAAATCTTATGAAACAAAACTAAAAACATTATGCAGAATATGTGGAGAAAGTGAAGATAATGGTAGTGTTCTTTTAACAAAACATATTGTTAGAATAGAATTTTGTTTTTTATCCGAATCGATAAGGACCACCAAAATATGCATCCTCAAAAAATATGTTATAGATGCTTTTCAATATCAAGAAATACTGAAAAAGGTTCAAACACTGAATTAAAATTAAGATCATGGCCTGAAAATTGCAATCTAACTGAATGTGTTTGCTTTAAATCCAATAAAGTAAGAAAAAAAAAGAAAAAGATAAGTGAAAGACCCTCGAGTATTAGTTACAGTGAAAATATTTGGACTAGACACAAAATAAATAACATACAATCTATCCTTTCACCTCAAACAAAACTTAACATTAAACTGCAAGGTATTAACTACATCTTAAACCCTCATGCGCATCTTTGTGTTTGTACTATTTGCAATGATATTATGCATAAACCAATTATTATAAAAAACTGTCTTCATTCATTCTGCGCATCATGTCTATTACCACTTATCATTGGCAAATAAATAGCCAAATCAAAATGCCCTAAATGTTTCTTTTCAATTCTAAGTGATGGGTTAATTTCATCAACGAATGTCATTGAAATGATAGAAAATTTACAAGAAGTATGCAAGCAAGGTTGTGGTAGATTGTTTAAAATCACACAAATGTCAGAATAAATGAAACATCAAAAAACTTGCCAAAAAACTCAAATATCAAGTTCAACAACATTATCATTACCGACATCATCATCATCAACTCTACAAATAAACCTTTCACATATATTTGCATTGGATTCATTTTATAACAAGAATTATACCAAGTATTATACCAAGAAACATTGAAGATGCTACTCTGCATGTAATAAAACAAAAAATATCTCAAACAACATCTAATGTAATTGAATTTCCAACAGGTGGACCAAGGGTAAGACTATTTATACAAAAGCAGAGACTGTAAAATTACTATAACAAAACAATTAACTTTAGGTAGACACTCATGCCTGTTTTGCAACATCACAAGTCAAGGAATGTTAAATCCAATTAACGATAACATTTAAATGCGATCACTTAAGACACTGGATTTATCTCTAGCAAAATTTAACAACCGTGGCGCAGATCCCAAGTTTGCCAAATTATGTGACAATGTTATTGACCAACGGTTGTTTAATATGCCACTTGATCAGGTGCTTTGTTTTTATTAATTATTCCCATTTTATTTATTAGACATTATTTGCAAATTCACATGAATAATTGTTTATTCAATATAATACAATAAAAGTTATTTTTGCGGTAAATATAAATGGTGGTGCATGCAATTGTAAACAATATAAGCTTTCTTGTACTATTAGATAGGAGTTCCTTCTTTACATATTTCACTTGGTATATACTTAAAGTTTTTCAACATGTTTGAAGGCTCTTGTCACACAATTGACATCAAAATTGCAGGTCAAATGGCAGTAAATAACCAAACGCATGACTGTGAGGAATTTAATTCATATTTGGAGCACCAGCGCCAAATAAATCAACTTCAAATAAGTATTCAAGAACTTGAAGATAAAATATGTATTACAACAGAAGCATTTAAAATGCAAATACTTTTTAACCCTGAAAATGAAGAAAAAATTAAATTAGTCTTTGAACCTCACTTGATTCACTTTGGAAAGAAAAAGAAAAAACAGGTAACTATTTTAAATTTTATTATTCACTAAAAAATATTTAACTTAGATTGGTAATTAAACCCAGAATAATACAGTGGAGAATTGTTTACATTGGAATATCTAAGCTTTGCTTTATTGATTACATTTTTTTGAATTTTTCTCAATAACATATTTAATCATAGATCTCAGAATTGAAAATACTGCTTGAAGCAGACCATATAAAAAAAATCATTTGGGCCACTTGTAAAAAAACTTGATAAGGTTCTTAACTCATTAGGAGTACAAAGACAAGCATATCACGTGAAAAGTTTTGTTGGTAATCATGTTAACAAAATGTTAAAGGTAAAATATATCTAATACATATTTCCTAAATTTATAAAATCTACTCTTTACTAAAAACAAAGTTTACCTAAATTTAAATGTACAATACAGTATAAATAAATGTGCGTGTGTGTGTATAAGTGGAATAGATGGCTAATACTAACATTACTAGACATAACGAAATACATACTTAACAACAGTTGCTACATTTAATGTATATTTCACAACTATTTTATATATTAAATTAGGAGAAAAGTATCCTTGAACTTTCCAACTCCATACCAAACCTTGTAGTTGAACTTGGGTTTAATGACACTAATATACACAAAAAAACGAAGTTTGTAAAAACTTCAAGGTACTCTTTTCTAAATTTGAAATTTGTCACAAGCTTATGAACTATTAACTCCTGCAATTGAATGATAACAAACAGGACTTCGGTATGTCATATTTTTTGGCAGAACATAATGAATAGAAAAAATCATTTTAATTATTTGATATTTATCTTTGTTATCATTTTATTTATTTGATCTTTATCATTATTTGATCTTTATCATTTGTGGGTTTAATAATTTCTTATCTATTATTATGACTTTTTATGCTAAGTTCTTAGCATAAAAAGTTAGCATAAAAAGCATTTATAAAAATAAAAATTCATAATTTTTATACATGTGTTACAGAAAATCAAATCAAAGATTTCATGAAGTACTTTTGTGAAAACTAGCCGAACGCTTCAACCACACCAAAGCTTTATATGCTGGAGTACCATGCATTACCTTTCATTAGGAAATATGGAGTAGGACTAGGTACTTATGGAGAGCAAGTATTCATGCTGAAATCAACCGTATGAAGAGTACCTACTGCCATACGAAAAGAGTACGTAGATTAAAAAGCATAATGAATGAGCATTTCATAAAAAACAACTTAACTGTAAAAAAATATAAAAAAAAAGCTCAGTGAAGAAAAAGAAAAATTGTATATACTAAAAATAATCCGATAAAATACTGTAAAATGATTTAAAGATAATAAATGGCAGTATTAAAGCCTACATAATATTTCTGTCAGTATTTTTAAGCTTTCAAAAAAACGAAAACTTACCAATCTTTAAAAGCATTATATTATCACAAAAAAAAGTAAGCGGTTTTTAATTTTTGCTTTAAATGATTCACAAACTATTAAATTTTCAAAAAAAAATCAAGGTTGTCACTGAAAAATTTAAAACTTTAGAATAGAGACTATAATGTAAGCACAGGTTAAACTTCGCCTAATAAAATAGCTAAGTTTTACTTTAGTCCCACTTCTATTCTCTTTGTAAAATTATTTAAATGATGACACATACCATACCTAAAGTATTGTTTTAAAGTATTGTCTTATAGGCAATTTAGAAATATCTACAAATAAATCTAATTTAAAGTTTAGACAACTTTATTAGTAGTTCCCTGTTTACTTGCGAACATTATTGTTTACCAACAATTGCGAAAGTTTGTTTACCAACATATAGCGCATGCGCATAATAAATGTCTATTACTAAACCACCGTGCTGTATGCTCAAAAAAAACTTTTTTAGTTGTTTAATTACACTTTTCTTTTGTTATCTACCATGACGTCAAATGCTAAAACTTTTATGAATTAAACGCGCTTCATAGGAGTTGCCTAAGTCTGTAGATTACGACGTATAATTTAAAGACTCCAAGTTATTGAAAAAAAAAGGAGAAGGCGAGCTTCGGCTAAAACAACAACATTAGTTTTTCTCGGTATCCATTCATTATTTATTTTTAATCAAAAAAATTTGGTTTAAACCTTTTTTTTTAACATTATCTTTAATATGAACACAACATGTGTTGGGAGTTTGGGACGCCTTTAATGAAATGATAAATTTATTTTTTAAGAAAAAAATTTTGTATCAACCAAAATTTTTTTTAATATAATTTCTATATCATTTATATGCTTTAAACATTTGTATCTTTATCTAAATTGACTAGTAATAATGCAACAAAATATTAAGGACTTACCTAAAATAGAAAACAAAAACAAAGGATCTTCATAAGCTTTTTTTGAAGAATTACGTTTAGAAAACAAAATCATTTTAGAAAATAAAGTTTTTTTTGAAACATCCAGGTTAACAAGAAACTTTATTAAACTATTTTGTCTTTTATTGGTTAATCCACAAATCATTGATAAACAATTCTCCAACTTTTTATCAGCTATAATCTCTTTACTACTTAAACAATTATATGCATATACAGATACACAAAACTCCATAATTGTTAAATGTGCAAATTGATAATAATAACCTAGATTCGTTTCAATCCTTTCTATAAATCCAAAAAAGTTGTCTTTATTTTCATTAAAATCATTGATAAAAGTTTGAATGTCTTCTTTAGAAAAAATTACTTTATTTTCAACAAACAATTGATATGCAATTTTACAAATACTTAAAATATATTTTTTATTGGAATTGTTTTCCATTATCTGATAGATTAAATCATTGCTTTTGATGATGTGTTTTTGAAAAAAGTATAGAAAAATATTTGCATACAAATCTGTCATTGTTAAAAAAGAATTATCTACATTTTTTGAACCACTAATAATCTTACACATGGAAGATAAATAAAATGGAACAGATGACATGGATTTTGCAATCGGAGATTCTTTTAAAGTTGCTTTCACAACATCTTTTTTTTTCTCTAAAACATTTTTTTCTATGTAATTATTTATTCCATTTTCATTAAATCCCATTATTTGAATGGTTATTTTATCATTATTCTCTGTTGATATATTTTGGTATTGATCAATTGCATAAACTCTACCAGAAACTACATATTTGTATTTTTGAATTTCTTTTAAAGCATTAACAATTGGATAGTTACAACTCGAACTTGGATTTATTAAATCATTCAAATATCTAAACTCGTCTAATCCATCAATTATAAACAGCGCAGGATGGTTACTAATATTAAAATCATTTATAACATCTTTGAAGAAAACATTAAGTAATTCATTAATATCAGAAATATTTTGATGTTGATTCAGCCTCCTGCATTCCAAATAGAATACAAGTTTAACATTTTTCCAAATTAAATTGTTTGACCAATCAAGCAAACATTTTCTAAGCAACCATGTTTTCCCAATACCAGCTATTCCAGATATTAATGTTACAGATTTCTCTCTAATAAATATTTCACTATATGGAATTGGTGTATAACGCAATTGCTTTTCAAGAAATTTCTTTCGTTCATCATTATATATAGCATCTATTTGAGTATTACCTGCATCAACGATACATAGATCAACAAATTTTTGCACCAGATCAACATTTACAGGTGTTTTTAGTGGTGGTTGAACTTCATTGATTTTCCCATAATTTTTAAGATAATAACTTTTGAATGCTGTGCATATCTCAGAAATATCTAAAAACAAAAATTTATCATCATCATAGTTTTTGTCGTAATTGTCATCATTATCATCCAGGGACAAATCTATTTTGGTACTGCTGGAGTAGTATAGGGTGGAAAAAAGTTCTAAAGTAGTAGTGAATAAATAAATTGTTGTTTAATTTACCTAGTTCATTGTTCCTTTAGGAATATAAAATTTATTAAAAAGTAATTACGTTTAGTAACTTGTTTAGTGTTAGTAACTTGCACAAAAGTGTTCCAAATCGTTGTTTGGTAAATTTTTTTTAATGTTTGCTCACCTCTCTATGGTCATGAAGGTTACTTCTGTCAGGTAAGCTATTTAAATTTTAGTTACAACACTCTCTCAACTCTAAAACATGAACCTTGCCACTTTTCAAAGAAAATAGTCAGCCTAGAACTACCAGGGTCATGGTAGGGATTAAACTCGGAAATTTTTGCATATGAGGTATGTGCTCCACCACCACACCACTCAATTAAAAAGGAAATCGAATGTTTGAAAAAATGAATTTTTCGAAAAATAGAAAGATTTAAAAATATTTATTTAGAATAAAAATAACTTTATTTCGTTAGCAATTTAAAGTTAATTGTTTTTAATAATAAATAAATAAAAGTAAAAACTTCAGTCCTAATAACGATTTAGTAATCAGTTTTAATTTTTAATATTTAATTTAGTAAGCAAATTTAATTTTTGAATAAATTTTTAATTTTATTTTACTTTAGTAAAACGAAAAGATGAAACAAACACTTTTCCATATAGGTTTGCTTATTTTCATATTTTAGCAACTCTTAGTTTTATTAAGTTTTTATTAATTTTTATTTAGTTACTATTTTGTATTTTGTTAAGTTTAAGTTATTTTTAAACTTAAATATACTTAATAAAAAAAAATGTACACAAATTTTTTCAGTTATGTATTTTTTTAATCATTAAATTTACCATAATTATCACTTCATGTTTATTTAAAAGACCCCTTTTATGTAAATTATTACCCTTTAGTAAAAATTAAATTAACAGAATTGTTAATATTTAAATCAAACTGAAAATTAAAATAGTAGTGAATACCCTTATTAAATTCTTGTTTTGTACTCATATAGCCATTGTATATATATATATATATATATATATATATATATATATATATATATATATATATATATATATATATATATATATATATATATATATATATATATATATATATATATATATATATATAAAAGTAATATGTTAATTTATAATAATTTTTCTGTTTTTATTTAAAATTTATTGAAAAAAATAAGATTCTGTTTTCAATGTAGTTATTTTCTCCTTAATTCTGCTTTTTTTTCTTTCATTTAGAAATAGAAATTTAGAAATAGATAGTGTCAAACATCAATTAAATACAATTTATAGTTGAACAGAAAAATTAAAAAAAAAAAATGCTAAAGCTAAAAAAATAACATTTGTAAGAAATTTTTACTTTTCCATAAATTTTATTTACTTGTTAATTAAGATTTTACTTTTAGGAGCGTCAACTACATCAAGTGTCAGTTGATATATGTTTTGGTCAAATACATGTTTGTATTTGGTAATATTATGTCACATTTTTGTTTTATATTTCAAAAACTCGTATTGCATTTATTTAAATATGCATTTAGGAATCTAGAATTAATGTGTTTGTATTTAATTTTAATTTAAATTAAAGAAATTTTACTTGATTAAATGTATTTAACTCTAAAGTTTTACTTTTGCCTTCGGTTTTAAAAAAAATAAAACAATGGTTTTGGCTATATTTCATTTTATGTAATGGTTAATGTAATATAGTTTATTTTATGTAAAATGCCTAATGAATTTTTATTTGTAACGACTTCTTTAATTCATTCAGCTCCTCCAAAATTTGAAAGTCTGTGATTCAAAATTTTGCTTTTCCCAAAAAAAAATTAAAGAAAGTATATGAAGTCAATAATAAATCTTAAAGTTTTACAAAGATTAATGTAAGTAATAATTTTTCTTGTAATAACTATCTTAGAAGTTATTTTACCTATCTAGGCCTTTTTTCTTTATAAATTAATTTTTTTAATACTCCGCAATACTCAAAATAGGTACCTAGTCAATTCAGCAAGAAAAAAAGAACATTTAAGAATTTCCTTTCGAAAGATGTAGTTAGTAAAACTTTAAGTTTTACTAATTACATCTTTCGAAATATATATAGATATTCTCACATCTAAGGTGGCATTGTTCGCTAACGACACAACCATTTATTCTTGTCATGATAAGAAGCCTATGCTCTCTGATTGCTTGGAGGGGTTATTTAAGTTTGGAAAGGATCTCACCTCTGCTACAGCATGGGGCTCAATGACTGGTGAACTTTATTACAGATAAAACTCAATTTTTTTCGGCCAATCGTTATCGCAATAGTTTAGATCTTACTATATTTATGAATGGTAATGTACTAGATGAGTCATCTAACTTTCATCATCTAGGATTAAAATTTACTTTTGATCTTTCTTTTAAACCGTATATCAAATCCATTGCAAAAGTAGCATCTGCTAAGGTTGTTAATCGTCGTGATGTTGAGTTTGGAAGTGACTCTTCCAGTAACCTCCTAACTATTATAGTGGTTGCTCGCAGCTTTGTTGAAAGTGAAGATGTAATATATATATATATATATATATATATATATATATATATATATATATATATATATATATATATATATATATATATATATATATATATATATATATATATATATATATATATATATATATATATATATATATATATATATATATATATATATATATATATATATATATATATATATATATATATATATATATACTATATATATATATATATATATATATATATATATATATATATATATATATATATATATATATATATATATATATATATATATATATATATATATATATATATATATATATATATAGTGTGATTCTATCGCCAAGTTTCTTGAATGTGATCAATCATTTCTCGATGCAAATGTTGCAAAAGGTAGTATATTTTTTATTATGATTGAATGTTTCGTTTTCCTTTTAAGGGTAAATCACTATCATAAATTACATAAAAAATTTTAATCTGTAATTATATAAATAATGCTCACTTTACAAATAATCATAATTTACACAAAATTTTTGGATTGAATTGATAAAATTTTTGAATTGAACACTAATGAATTGCTTCTATGCCCAATATAACTTACACTAAATTTTCCCATTCAATTACACTAGTGTTATCTTTTGAATTTAGAAATAGAAGTTATTAAATGTTGGTGGCTCATCATGCAGTGAATTTGAGAAGGACATGCTTTCAAAGTAAGTATGATTTTACTATAAATAGAGCATTTTTAATACCGCAATTATATTGCATACTTGATATACATAAATATATACGCTGGTCACAACAATCCAGTCAAAAATTTCTTTAAAAAAATAAATTTAGTGTTGAGAATTTCGTATTTTTTGATGTTTGATGTTATGTTTGTAAAATAATAATTATATATATATGTGTGTGCGTGTGTGTGTGTGTGTGTGTGTGTGTGTGTGTGTGTGTGTGTTATTTATTTCTTTCCCCTTTATTTTTACATACTTATCTTGACAATATTTTTTTAGGGTTAAGACTGCTCCCCTGATTCCTTCAGCAGAAAAAAAACTTTAAAATGTTGGTGGTAATTTTTTAAAGTGTGCACCTGATCGAAAAGAAGGTGACTAATTACGTCTTAAAAAGACGTCATCTGGCGTTGCCATTTAGAACTAGCTCCGGACGTTCTAAAAAGACATCCTTTCGACGTCATATGGACATTGCCGTGCCCGCTGAGACCGATGTAATAGCAAGAAAGAGTAGCAGCACTTTTTTATGTAAGAAAAGTTAACGAAAGTGTATACTATTATCTAACTTTCTTCAAGTTATGTAATGTTAAAAACGTACTAAAACATATACCAAGTTTTCAAGTTTTACTTTCACTTAAAAATTGCATTGTGGCAACATCGCCTTAAGTGATCTGTAGCACCTTATTCAATTTGATAAAGTCTTTAATATGTTATATACATTTTAAATCTATATGTAGAAATAAGTCTGTGTAGCCGAATGGTTAGTACCCAGAGCACTGAAACTGGAGGTCCAGGGGTCAATTTTATAAAACTTTTTATCGGCTTAAAATGCTACCGGCTGTAAATTTTATGGGCGTAAATGATTTGTTTCAATGTTATAAAATTTTTTTCAAAATTACCGTCGATAAATTTCTACAGCCGAAACGTTTACAGTCGATAAATGTTCCGAAGGAGCAACCAACGGAAATTTTTGTTGAAGATCCAGAGTTATGAATATTTAGTTGTAGAAACCTGTGGTTTAAAACTTTTCAAAGCACTTACCTTGAGTTGAAAACTTATTACAAATTCATTCATTTTAATTAAGTGCACATTTCTTGGTAAATTTTAAATTCAAGCGATTTCTTTGGTAATATTTTTTTACTGAATTTGTCATGTAAGAAATGTATGTCATTCTCAAAATTTAAAACTGCTCTCGTTAACTATTTTTTAGAAAAACATTGCTTATAAATTTTATACTTTCATTCAATTTATTGTTTATAAACCTAATTCTGAGCTTCTATTTTCTAATTTTTTTCTTTTCTGTTGTGATTTAATATTTTTTGTTAAACTTATTAAATTTAACAAAAAATATTAAAAAACAATAGAAAAGAGATAAAAAATGAGATAAATACAACCTCAAAGTTAGAGTTATAAATAACAAGTTAAAGGAAAGTATAAGATTTATAAGCAATATTTTTCTAAAAAATAGTTAAAGTTATAAAGTATCAATAACCAATTATTTATTATTTATATTAATTATTTATTATTATATATATATATATATACAGGGGTGGGACCGCAAAATGTGAACGTTTTTGTTTTATTATAACTATTTTCTCGTTAGATGTAGTTGTACTCTCTCACTCATCAGAAAGTGTCTAAAGAGTTGGTCTAAACGT